ACGGGAGGTGAGGAAGCCAAAATGGAAGGAGAGAGGTGCTGGGCTCCCCCAGGGTGGAAGGAACCTCTAAGTTAAGCTTTTGACAGCAGATAAGGGGTTTTTAACACTAAAAGTCGATACTAGAAGCCAGAAAGTTTGGTTGCAGCTTAGATGTGGGAGTTCCACAGCAGCCCTGAAACCCCCTTTATTACACGAGCAGTAATACTTTAATTCTGTCTTCCACTGGATAAATAAAAGGTAGCAGAGTGATTTCAGAGGGAAGATAAGCAAGTGACAACAACAAAAAGCCTATGAGGAAACAACAGTACATTAGTACAAGAAACAAGAAGTATAAAGACCCACAACCAAAGGGTGTCTCCGGGGAATGTAAGGGCAGAGATACAGGAAAGCAGACAGGAGGAGGCATTTCCAAGAGTGTTCTTCAGAGTAGTCTTTTCAGGAAGAGTATGTCATCTAGGAATGCGAGAGTTCAAGGAAGGTGGTAATAAACAGAGCACTGAATGCTCTGAGCCAGAGGAGGCGAGAAGGCAGTGTTTATCAACCTGCTACTTATGGCAAACATAAGAACAGGCTAGGACTACAGAGCCTAGCTAAGGGCTCGAACCCTGCATACAAGAGACATCATCTCAGGCCATAGGACACACCTGGCTGCTCCCCAGGACGAGCTTTATTGCACGCTCTTCTAAATACAATATTCCAGACAGGGATTTGAGCACAGTAGTGCTGATATGCCTGGGAGTTACTTATTTCAAGGCGGATCAGTGGCTCCACAGAAGCTAAAAAGGGTTAGCAGCCAACAATCTTACCTGGCCATCTCCATAAAACTCTCTAGGATGTTCATGGTTGTGCAAACTAATTAGGCTAGTCATCTTGCTACAGAACTTAGGACAGAGCAGTTTTAGCGTGCCGTTTTGCCTCAAATCCCAGAAAAGGATGGGCATTTCCCCTTATGCTGGCAACTCACCGTATTTTAGTTCACAGATCTGACTGTCTTTCTTCTTTAGTTTCTCGCAAATCTTTTCCACGGGGATGTGATGACTCATGGGCTTTGATACCTCATTAATGATTTTGGTGGCTGCATCACTTGTGGCCCCAACATAATAGCACTAGAGGGAAGAAGAGAATAAGGTGGGGACGCATGGAAAAAATGCTTCTAAAAGAGGAGTTTTCTATTCATCTTCTCTCCTCACTTGGTTTTGCAGATAGCTGTTTACTGTTGCAGAACCTTTCCAAGTGACTGCTACAGACAAGCAAAAGGAAGCCTAACTGAGCCCAGGGTAGTGAGCCGACGTTTCCCATCACACTGCTTTTAAAGCTGTTGAGACTGGTTGTCTTGTTTCTCAACTTTTTAATTCAAGGAGAAAGGCTTTCTGAAGTGTTCCCCCTCTGCATTTCTGATGGTGTCTCTCCACAGTTTTCTTCTCAGGAGAACTCAGGGCTCTTCATTTGGGTATTGCCTTCTGTTTTTAGTTAGGGCAATTTGGTTTTCCTTTATTTAGTTTTCAGCTAAACAGCTGAAGAGCATGGATATTTTAACAGCTTATATAGCACCCGAAATACAATTTAAGGGACAAGGAAGTCCTACAGCAAATAAAAGCTTTGTAATCCCGAGTGCTTCAGTAACAGGGAGAAACAAGGTCAGCCAGTAAGATGTCTGTTGACAGACTGGCTTTTTCCCCCCCCTCCTCTTTTTTTTTTTTTTTTAAGGTGAAGAGGTGAAACCCCTCAAGCCCTCTCTTATAAAAAAAACACAAGACAAATTGTGGCCACAGAGGCTAGGAAGAACAGCCCCTGGGGAAGCCATATCATACAAACTCAAAAGCACTAGTTTCCCCTTGTTTGCCAAGTATTCTACAACTTACTCGGTCACGAGGCAAGTATCATTGACTACTACAACTTACCAGGCGGTTCTCTTTGCCTTTTGCTTCTTTGCAGGATTTCAAGAGCTCCTTTTCAATACTGGCAGGTGTGAACTCAACATCGTTGTCCTTTAGACTCTGGTAGAACCTTCCCAGGAACGTAACACACACTGGAAGGGAAGATGGATGGAGTTATCTGCCACTGCAGTAATCTCGTGGCAGCTCTTAGAGGGCACTTGTAGGGGAACAGAAAAAGGGGTTTTGAGAACAGAACTTCTAGAAGCTGCATTAGCAGTCAATGACTTCACACATATTTCAGTAAGTCTTTCAGAGCACATGTGAATTGACAATATGCCCCAGTATTTTTGGTGTGTTTTTGACAAGTCTGAGAAACCAGATCCACAGGAGTGTCCAATGGCTTCTGTACACTGTCTGAGTGAGCAGCAGGGTTCAGCTGAGGGATACAAGACAAAACAGTGCCCATGCAAAAATGTAAACTTAAGTTTTCTGTCTTATTCTTGCTGCTTCGGGAAGCAACTTGTCAAACCACAGACTTCAAAACCAGTTCTGATTGAAAAACAAATCCCTCTACATAATCCCGTTACAGACTCCCATGTGCGCTGGTTTTAGTAATACAGTATCACTTATCAAGTTGGTTCAGTCCATAGGCAAGTTATTTCAAAGAGAAAAAGAGATTATGTGATCACACGCTATGTCCACTTGGTGTGTTTCTCTTCATTCCCACAAGCTTCTTAATCGACTTCAGATTGAAAGAGGGAAGAGTCTTAAAGATAATGAAACTCCCACAAGTGCACCAGCAGTTGAGAGGACAGATCCAAGTTCCTGCCTGTGGGAAGGGCACATACGACTTAGTCATTACACTTTCCCTCTGGCAGCAGTCACTCCGCATACGCTCCAGACTAGGCATGGACAGACACCTGCGTGTCGCTGGGGAGGGCGGAGAGCTGCGGTCACCGCAGCACACAGCATCTGTGCCACACGACAGAGACACTGCGAGTTTGCTGAGTGTCAGATTTCGCTGGTTCTGCTGCTCACGTAACTCGCCTGCGAACATGAGCATCGCTTGGACCAAGAGCTCTGCGGCCCCACCAATTCCTGCAGCAGGACCTGTGGATTCTCACGGCTTCCAGGTGTGAGGCAAGTGCCAGGCTTTAGCCTGCTTCTAGAGGAAAGGTGCAAGTTACGTGTTTTATGTGATTTGTTCACCCCGACAGGAAAGGATCCGCAAATATTATTGTCATTTGCAACTTGTGTTCGACTCTGAACACAAGCCACGGGACAGGAAATGGACAAATACAGGAAATCAAGTATGACCGTCACAAAGCGGAGTAGAAACTTACTGTCGTTATATTAAAGCTAGAAGTAATTGTAAGCTGAGCCATTTAGGAAAACACTGTTTTGTATGTGTACAACACCGTCATTTACCTCACATCAGTTTGTCCCCAGTCACAGGCACACACTGATGTCCACTGTGCGCTGTTTGGAAGTGCAAACCTTTGGAAAGAATAAAGATGCTGCAGGCAGTGGTACCAATGACTACAGCACAGCAGAAACAAGTTTCCAACCTAGTGCTGGGGCAGCAGCCGCGAGCTTTGATTCACTAAGTTCCCTCCCCCTCCTTCTGCCTTACTGTTTCCCTACAAAAAGGAGGAAGGGGTGAGCACTAAAACGCCCAAGCAGTTGCTACAGCCCCACCTCAAGTTTTCCTTCTTTCACCTGGACAATCTCTTCCGTTCCACCACGCAAGAGCAGTTTAATTTGCTGTGCAGCTCAACAGCTTCCACCCCAGAGGCTTTTGTGTTCAGGCGGTACTTAAAGCGCCCGGTTTTAGATCAGCTGAACACCGATCCTGACTTTAACGCATCGAACGAGGACACCCAGGACTCCAGTGGACAACGCCGCAGCAAACGCAACGCTGCGGTGAGTGAGGGGAGCCCACGGGAGCAACCGCACTGGCTTCCTCCAGTTTGCTGCCCGGCAGCAAC